ACGACACATATCTCACCGAAACCTCATCAGTCGCCTCGGACAGTGGTCAACAACAACTTTATGATTTTAGTAGATCCGCCGATCCATCAGGACGATTTGAAGATGTTCGATTTACTGGTAACGCAGGTGGCGATTCTACGAGTAATTTGAGAGGCGAAGAAAGAGATCAAGAGGAATATCAGGAGAGAATTCCAGGTCGAGACATTTAATAGAAATTATAGACGAATTGAAATGGTAATTATTGATTGATGGATTATCATTATATTAATACGACGTGTGGACATTCCCAGAAAAACGTTTGCTCTTTCCACTCATGTATATAATGATTTCGCAAGCAGAATACTATTGAGTTGAGGGAACAGCTTTGCATGAACTATCATCATCATGAAAACTTAATTAGAATTGATTTCTTTTGCATTTATGTATTCATGAGTAACTATTTTTTCATTGATTAATTGATTAACAAAAATCTAATAGTAATTATTAATATACTGTATGATCGAATTGTATCATCCTAAATTACTTTCGCGTGTATCATAAATTATTCTCCTCTCGAGATACATATTTTACCACATGACTGACTTTGATTAAACAAGAAATTCCTGGTTGAAGTTACTGTATATCGGCGCCTTATTGATTTTTATGGATACTTCTTGTTCGAAAAATTTTCTTACCCTGTCGTTTCTTGGGTGAGGCTTGTGTGCATATTTTTCCTGCTGGGGACATTTTTTTCCTGTTTATGAATCTCATCTTAAACACGTGATCATTCATTTTTCGAAGGGGTTTTTTTTTTTTTTACGATTATCATAAGATTTTTAAGCCCCAAAGAAATCTCGATTTAAATCTCGATTTGTCGGGTGTGAAAAACCAACTTTTGTTTAATTCGTGTCGCATGTGACGTTTAACATATCATTGTGTAATTCTACTACCAGAAAATATAAAAAAAAAAAAATAATAATAAATTGTGGCACAGTATATAACCGTCAAATATTTTGCGATGGGTGACAATACTAAAGAAGAACCGCTTTCTGGGAAAGCACTTAAGAAATTGGAAAAGGAGAAAGAGAAAGAACGGAGGAAGAAAGAACGCGAGGAAAGAGAAGCCGCGGAAAGAGCCGCTCGAGAGGCTGCTGAGGTGATTTTTTTGAGGAGGGTGTTTA